ATATATATATGCATATATATTGCGTATTTCTAATTTATATTTATGCTTTCAGATACACTATGGTTTTTGTCTTCTATGCCTTAGGAATAGTCCTTATGTTATTAATAAGGCCAATGATAGCTAAGAAATTTTTGCCAAGGCAGGGTAGGCTCTCTATTTATGCCGCATTATATTTTTATCCAATACTTGCACTGATCCATGCTGTGAGTGGAGGTCTAATATGTACGTGTGGTATTTATGTACATATATTTGTGAACACTCGTGTAATAATATTATTAATTATGTATTTCTCTTTTGCAGATTATTCTTTCCCCTATATTACTATCGTTCTGTCAGTTCTGTCGATTGCATCACATTTTGCATTCCAACTAAATCAAACTATAAAAGCATTGCTACGAAGTTCTGTATCAGATGTAAAAAATGTGATGTGTATTCTTGGTCATTGGATGTTACACGGATATGGCGTGATAGCGCTCGCAACTCTTCGTGAAATCAGCATTCATCCTTGGATGTTAGTTCTAGTCCCATTACCTGCCGTATTCTATATTCTCACGGCTAGATTTACAGATCCACACAAGCTCCATATCGAATAAGTTTATAAATCATTTTTGTATATATTTTCATATATCGAAAATATTATTATATATATTTATTACGTAACGAAAGCGAGATTTTGTGTACGTTTTATAAGTGATATTTTATGTGCATATATTAGGATTTTTGTAATAAAGATTTTCTGTTAATAGCATCATGTTTAAAAAATTTACACATTTTATAATTGCTGCATACATGTATATATTTCATCACGCGATTAATACAGTAAGACACTTTTATATTAACTGAATATGTGCAATATAATGAATGCATACGTATTTGAGTTTTTTTTTCATTAGTTTGTTTTTATTTAGCAAATTAATGACATTTAGCAATAATTAATATTTATTTTTACTTTTATAAATTATTTATAAAATAACAAAAATAAAAAATAAGAAAGGACCATTAACATAAATAATAATAATAAATACTTTTTTTTGATAAGCAAGAGAGAGTTGAAGCTTTTGCATTCAAATTCAAACATTTTCAAGTTTTAAAGACATCAATAAATTAAAGAATATACGCCAAAACTCAAGTTACAAAAATTTAAGCTTTGTTTATCGCAAACATCGCACGATATGTTATCAAATAATACACAATCTATAAAACATAATGCTCTGATAGCGATGCACAAATGTTTCCTCGTGTATAAACATGTAATGACGTCATTTAAGTGTAATATATATTCATATATATTCATGTTTACTATGGCAAACTGGCTTTCCATGATTAATAATCAAGCGACGTCACATGCTGTGTATGCATTCTATATTGCTCTTATTCTGAATTTTGCTGCAATTTTCTTAATTCTCTATTTCTTCATTGAAGCAAAAAGCAATCGTATATAGCCGATCATTTTTGCATTTGAAACATCTTTCATGATGATTACTCCGTGGGCACAAATGTTAAAATCAACGTGCTCATCGGCGATATAGGTACTTCTTTTGAAGGATATTTTTTATTACTGTAAAACAAAATTTCCATATTAATAAATTATTAAATAGTATATAGATAAATTATATAAATTTTTAAAAGATTGCTATGTGAAAATTCTTACTTTGGGAATTCGTCTTGAACATAATTAGGACTGAATGCGAGTACATTGACTTCTTCAGATATTTGTGGTATTACAGACAGATCTATAGTAGCTTTTTTTGCTGCTGTCTGATGCACTACCAAATATCCAGGATTTCCGCTTTTTAACCTGCAAGTTTATTCAACATTTATTATTTTCGGATTTTATTCAAGCAGATACAATAACAATGCAAAGCGTATGTGTATAATATAGAAAAATAATTTAATAATATATTAAAATTGCGCATGCCATTAGTAGTTAATCCACTGTATTGTTTATTTGCATGCAGTTAAATTTTTACAGCAAAGCGTAATTGCAATATGTTAGTAGTACAAGGACTCACCAACTCCTATGTCGTATGCAAGGAAGCGTGGAACAAGGCAAATTAATTTTTGGTTAGTTCATTATACAATAATCCCATAGTATGCAAGACATATTTTAGTTATCAGAGCCTGTATTTTCAAATTTATCTAACACCATATTTAGGGTCCAAAGTATTCATGATTGAAATGTTCTAATTATCCAATATGAGACTATACTCAATAGTATGAGATGAAAATTAGGCGACAAATGTATCGTTAACAGCACCGTAAGAATAGGGGCCAAGATGTTTAAGAATACATCAATAAATTCAATTGTGTGCACGAGAATGGATTCAATTACTCAATTAAAAGCCATCTCCTCTATTCAAGTATACATTTACTGCAATATTATTTCGTATGTAAAAATCAGATACTTAGAAGATGAAAAAATTAACAATAATTATGCAAATAATTAGTTTGTAAAATCTACTTAGCAAATCAATAGTTAGGAATACATGTTATGTTAATCGTGCCAAGTTGCAATATTTTTAAAAGTGACTTGCAAGAATATTTTCCTTTTGTTACATTATACATTGTTAGAATCGATAATTACTGCACATATTAATGAATTATTACAAAACTCACCTTTCGTATACGAAGACAGTCTCGTTTATTATTTTACTTGTCATATTGCCGTGAAGGAACGTTAAACCTCTTCGCGCATTTGACAAAGTTGTAAATGCCTTCTCTATGGATTTGGTATCGTTTAGTCGAAGAATAGGCGTACCCGGAAGCAGCATCGTCATTAATATTATGCTGTCAGCGGTATCAGTAGGCACAAGTTCTCTCAAAATATGTTGTTTACTATTAAGCTGCAATCGATATACACATATGACGTATTTACAAAAAAAATAATTTCAATACAAATTTAATATCATCGTGTTACAAGATTTACTAGAAATATTCTTTTATTTTTAATAATTATTCTAATTAATAACTAATCTAATTTTTAATAATTCTAATATGGAAAAAATGGAAAATGTTAGATCTATATAAAATTAAAAATATTTTTTTTAATCACATATTAAAACTAATGTTACTAGAGATACTTACATTCCATGCAGGCCATGGCGCAACATTGAGCCATTGTGTTATACTTGTATTTAACGTCGTAGCATTTAGCTTCATTAATTTCCTATCTGCATCGGTAGAGACAAGAAAATGTGAACTTTGAGGTAAATCAATTTTCTTCGTCTCGTTGTAAATTTGCAAAATATCTATAGGAATGGGATCTTGTAATGAGAACAGTCTGCAATAAAAATAACAGCATACGTTAGACAAAACACGTGCAATCATAGAATTATAGTAAAAACGAACATACCCTTTGCCATTAGTTTCATTATAAACGATCTCGTGCCATTTGTTTAACACTGCAACGTTCTCTGGACGATTGCGTGTATAAATGTGTATCAACGAATGATAATTTGTTTCTACAGGATAATAAAAGCTTCTAGATTCGTTACGGAGGTCCGGATCTTCCGTTAAATATTGGGAATTTTCCAAGCGAAAACCGCTAATTCCTAATTTTAGCCAATAAGTTAAGACATTCTGAAATAAATAAATAAGATATAAAATAAATATCAAAATCAATCGGTTAAAAATAAAATACCATAATACTTACTCCAAATTCTTTCACCACTTCCGGATTGGCGTAGTTCAAATCAGGTTGAGATTTGTTAAACTGATGGAGATAATATTGACCTCTTTGTTCATTCCATTCCCACGCAGACCCACCGTATACGCTCAACTGTAAAAGTATATTTGCTTAATGTATTTGCTAATACTTGTATTTTCGTTTTATTAGAGTAAGATTTTATGTAGAAAAGAACATAACTAACCCAATTATTTGGAGGACTTGGTCTTTCTTTTCCACCTTCGGATTTTGTTATTCCATTAGCCCAAATATAATAGGATGTGTATGGCTCCTGTTTCTCTACAGATTGCTTAAACCACGGATGCTCCACAGAGGAATGATTGGGATCTAATTCTAAAAAGATTTGTTGTCCATTCTTCTTCGCGACTTCAATAAGACTTTCCAAATCGCTGATGTTTCCTAATTGGGGTTTGATGGCATTAAAATCATCGACTCCCCCTGTAAAAAAAATTTACTATGATTATATTTTGTTTCAAGAAAACAAGGTGTGTAATTACATCGTTTTAAAGCAAATTTTAACAAATATATATACATAATTTTTAAATTTCTACATACCATCTGCTGCTTCCTTCACCAATGATGAAAGGGATATAGCCTTGACATTTAAATTTGTCAAATTGTTCAGCACAGATTCCAATCCTTTCAAATCGCCATTAAAAGAATCTGTTGAGGCATCCAATTGAATAATCGGACTTTCCTCCCATAATTTCTTCGGTTCAGGAGCTGAACATTTTGGTGCCATTACAATGATAGCTATGGCACCAGCTAACATAGCAGCCCACAATAGCCAAAAAAGGATGAACAAGGCCCATCTCAATCTCACCCAGAATGGATCATTAGCAAACTTCATCAATTCCTCTTTGCTCATTCCAGAGAGTGCTTCTTTTATCATTTCAATGTCAATTTTAGCGTCTCCATTCTCAGAAATAAATTTGACCTATTAAAGAATGGATATTTTACACAAATTTCAGCGAAAAGAAATTTTCAAACAAGTCATTGTAATTATATAACAATTACGGAATAACAAATGAGTCAGTTGTTAGTTCTTGGAATAATTTATTAATACACAGCCTATATTAATTATCATATCATAGCAAAAATAATTTACATTCTTTGTAAGTTTACTATTTCTTTTTCAAACATACAAAGTATGCAAATTATGATAAAATAGATATAAATTCAAATTAGTTGAAAGCCATCTAGACTAAACTAGACTAGATTCATATATTGAAATGATGTTTGAAATGTTACAAATTAATATATTTTCATTGAAATTACCGAATATTTTAGAATAAGTTAAATTTTGTGATGCAACTTTGACAAAGGCTTGCATATATTTGATACTTAGTTTTTTTTCTTTTTTTTATTCATATGATCAACTTTGTTCATGCTGCAATAAATTGAAAAAAAACGCGAATTTTTAGTTGCATTAAAAACATATAGGCTTTATGCAATTCCAAAGTTTATAAAAACGCATAAAGCAAAAACAAATACGAGAAACTGTTGCCTCATTGTCGGCAAAAGCGATCGATTTCGCGCATAATGGCGAGATAGGCGTGTCAACTGAATAAATTACACAACACATTTCACAGCTTATTAAAAGCGGACGAAGATTATTATGAGTGATAACTGCTTGTTTGTCTCGTTAATTTTGTATTATGATTGCCGTGGTATAACAGTGAGATAAAGTTAACAAACTTACGAACAAATTTGATAAACAAAAAAATCAGAAATTGAAAGCGATACAATTTCGTTATTTGTAATACGCGAAAAAGATTCTTGTGCTTTGTAATTATTGTTAACAACAAGGATTTTATACATAAGAGTTTTTAAGTCGTTCCTACAGATGCAATGGTATTTTGACACGAGTAAAACGAGCAGATGAAGGATATCGATCGCTAACGAAAAATTCTTACCTCGGTGGCGTTCTTTTCGGTGATCTTCGCGGCGTTTTCATCCTTGAGCATTCGTTCCTGTGCACCATCGTCCAGATCTTCAGGATTTTGCTTGCCCATTGTGTTGTCTTGACGCACCATCGCTTCTTTCTCGTCCTCAACTTTATTAGCAACTAACGACGGCGTTTCCTTCGAGGCGCCGTTCACCTCGCTACCATCTCTCCCACTCTCCACGTCGCGATTCATCGTGATTAAGAACCGTTATCTTAAGCACTCGGATTCGCCTAGCCAAAATAGCTTACGCAATATTTTCCGAGACACAGAGAGTAGCACGCGATAGAGAAAGTCGCGAACCCGCGGGAAGAATGATGACGATGGCGGATTTTCAATGACCGTTACGTGCCGAAACCAGTGCTACACTGCTACAATGTACTCGTTCCGCTTTCGTCATGCTACTGGTTTGTTTTCATCCTCGAAAAGTTTTGGCCCCCTTTGGAAGCGATATCTGCCTTATCTTGATTGAGAACAAATAAACCGAAAAACCTTTCTATCGCGCCAAATGTTGTACTGTTGATTCAGTCTGAATTTACAAAATTACAAAGATAAAAATTATCACAAGCGTATGTTTTAGCAAATGCAGAATAAATCGACAAATTCTCTGTGAATTTATTAACAAAGGTTTTGTTAATTTGAAAGCTATGTAATACAATTATGTATGCAAATATTCTACACATATTAACAAGTGCTTAAATTTTTTTGGTAGAAAAGAAAGAGAATGTAAATATATTTTTAATAAAAAATTATATAATTATATATAATTTTATGCATGAATAATGCACTGCAAAAAAATACTGCAGTATCATAATTTCTGAGCTCCACATAGTGGAGCTGATTCTTTCACACAGTTGTCAGCCTGCACGTCAGAGCTCCACGTGGTTGGATGAGATGTCATAGAAAATTTACATTATACGAAGCGCGTAGTTTTCATTATTTTCGTTCGCAACAAACCACAACAAACTCGCAAAATGACTCAAATGTCTAGACTAGAAATTAATGTCAAGCGACTTTTAACGCGCTGCGAATTAATAGCGAAAGATGATCCGCATAAAGACTGGAAACTTGAAAAGGTTCTTGCACAAACTGCTTGATTGTCCTAACCTTTACTTTTCTGTTCTCTTTTTATTTAACAAATTGTTTTAAAGATGTTTTGTTAACTATTGAACTAATCTTGTACGATAACTGCTTATTTATATAAGTTGATAGTACGTGCACTGTATTTTTTAAGATAGGATATAATGATTCTTAAAAATGCAAAAATCAGCATTTGTTTATAACAAAAGTAGTTAAGTACGTAAATACATTATTAAATAAATAAAAGTACACAAATGTATTAGTTTTGTTAAATTTACAAATCTATCTACTAAATCCATTCATATATAAATATGTACAGTGTATATATGAACATTAATAAATGTATATAAATTTTATGTTTCAGTATATACTTGCTCTGGATGACATGATGAATAAATTGCAAGCACAACCAAAGTAAATTTTCAACTTTTTATATTATAGCACATATAGTATTTAAGACTGATATTAATTATCATCATACACATATAAAATTAATTTACTATTGAAAAATCCATTCTTTTATAGTAAACCATCCAAAGATACCATGATGGGTTATACTAAAAGGATAGACTTCCTAAAAGGAATAATAAGTGCAATGAAGTTATCAAATCCTGTAGAAAGAGTTGCTGCTGCACAATTATTACCAAAAAATTCGGCTTCGGCAAATGATTCTATCACTACAAATATTACAACACAAATACATCAGAAAACCATTGCAAAATATAATCGAGAACTACGTGCAGATTTATTTCATACTGACAAAGGTGATTGTATCCACTATTTTAATATGTGATTAATAATGTTTTTGTCTATTATGCTTTATATTAAATCTGTTACATATTATAGGTGCAAATAAAGACGGTATACGACAGAGATTATCAAATGCTAATATGCAAGACGAAGACTTGGATGCTATTTTGAAGTACAATCGTAATATTCAGGAGAAAATTGCTGAAAATATGCTCTCCATGACCAGCAGTATGAAGGAACATGCATTAGCAGCGAATGCTATCATAAAAAAAGATATTGGCACGCTGGAAGTGTCCGACAAATTAACCGATGTCAATGCTGTTAAATTAAAGAAGGAGTCTTTAAAGCTAGAAGAGCACACTAACTCAAAATGGAGATGCTGGTTGTGGTTCATGATAGCTTTCGTTTTGGTTGTATTTTTCAGTGAGTATTTCAGATAACAATTACAATTTTTTATGATAATTTAACAAATTTCCTTCTTGTTATTACTTTATAGAAAATTCATGTTACATATACTATCTCAAGCTGTAAAAAATTAGTTACAGCTGAATTATCTAAATTGATCTTTATTCTTATTTCAGATATGATATTATTCATGAAAGTGATGAAAAAGAAAATTTAAACAATAATTGGTGTATTAGACAAAATTTGGTATATAAAAGCGATATTGAGTGTCAACCAATGTGAAATGTATAGCTGTACATTATCATGAACACGACTGTGTGAGTCATTGGATTGTTATTATGATGATAGACTTACAGTCATGAGTGTACTTGTAAAAACGCCTGTACCACCTAAAACCACTTGGAAACCTGGTAAATATGTGAAAATAATGATGTATCTGTCAATAATTTTATCCAGCATTGTAGTGCCTAATTTGTAATCATTTTATAAATAGTTTGATAATAATATCTACTGTAAAATTTCTGAAACATTTCTCACTCCTAATGAGTCTTATGTATGATGGGAAAAATTGACATTTATATATGTATATATGGATTTGTGCGTGTATATACGTTCATAAATTGTAAATTTTATACTTATGTCATAGTAATTATGCCTAAGCTATTATTTTTGTTGAAAATTCAATAAAATTCTAATACATGTAAATTTAAGGTTATATCATATACCTTGCTCTCCAATATATTGATTTATTCTGAAAAAATTTATAGAATATGTAATGTATTTAAAATTATACAAAAAGCGAGAATTCAAGAAACTTACAAAAATAGTGTTATTGTGTTAAAAGAATGTTATTTTGCATATTTTTGGTTAATGTATATGTATTAAAATGTTATATAGATTACATTATATAGATTACAAATATTATCACATATATTGATAATATTTTGAAATATAAATATATAGCATTTATTGCAAATTTTGATTTCTGAAAAAAAAATCTAACATTTCACATAAATATACTAACATTACGTACTATCTTTAAGGTAAGGTAAAAGTGGTCAGGGCATTGTGCAAGTATACTGCACAACGTGTAAGTATATATTTAACATTAATAAAATATGTTTCTCATCAGAACGATATAATTATACTTTTTTTATAGGCTGATGAACTGTCATTCGACGAAGGTGATTTACTTTATGTTTATGACAAAGATGTTGATCCAAACTGGTGGAGGGCAAAATGCGGAGATGAAAAGGGACTTATACCTGTTGCTTACGGTAAGGAAGCCTGCATGTTAAGATATTTATTTCTAACATTTCTAACATGTTTCGTTATTTTTATTCATATGATTCGTTATTTCAGTCGAGGAACAAACGCAAGAGATTGAGTTACCATTGCATGATGCTGCGAGACGCGGTAATGTATCCTTCCTGAAAGAATATTTGAAGCAAGGCATATCGGGAACCGGTTTAGATGCTGCTGGAAATACTCCGCTGTATTGGGCGGCACGTACAGGCCATGTGGAATGTGCAAAAGAGCTTCTCAATTTACCAAATCCTGTAGTGAACGCTCAAGTAAGAAAAAGGAGACCTAGAAAATATTCAATTTCTATTTTGTGCTGAATTACTTTTGAATTCTCATTTTCTTCTATTGTAGAATAAGATGGGTGACACGCCACTGCATGTGGCAGCTAGTCACGGACATCTAGAGATGATAAATTTATTATTGGAACACAACGTAGACACGACGTTAAAGAATAATGATGGTTTTACCGCGGAGGAATTAGCTGCCGATAAATCTATCAAGAACGCAATACAATTACATCAACGCCAATACAATGGCATATCTGGTTATGACGATGAAGATTATAATGATGATGATAGTGACTAAGGAGAAATTTTAAACATTTGAATAAGATAATAATTCCAGTATTTTAAATAGAATGAAAGTTCTACATAATTAAACAAAATGAGAAATTTACGTATTAAATGATAGTGTTAATTCTGAAAGATCTCAAACAATGCTCACCTCTTTATGATTAAGAGCTACTCTTTTTATATTTCACATGATATACATTATAGAACATTTTTAATCTATCTATTATTGCAATATAAGACAACAGTTTAAAAGTTTTGAATCTTTTAAAGATCAATAAGTATTATAAAAATAAAATATACGTCATGAACGCACATAGGTGTATTAGTGTTTTATCATACTGCCATTAGCATTATTCTTCAGAAATATTCAAGTATACGATGATCTGTGGAGAGCATCATTATGACAATATACATATTTAAACTATATTATGCTTTTGTTAAGCGATTATTATGTTAATTATATAAATTATATACAAAAACAAGTTCAGGGAAATATAATCTGATGTGAAATATACAAGGCGAATTATGAAAGAATAGGACTCTTACATAAATTAGTCTTTATTCGAAAAATTTTCATGTATTTTACTTTTGAATAATAGAAGTTACTATTAATAGCATCTTTGTTGCTGCATTTCGTGATTTATCGTTGTTTGAAGATAATTTATGAAAAGGATGCAACAGTGTCGTTTTTTTTCTAACAATAAACTTCTTGATTTGTAATTCATATAGTTTTCACTTCCCTTCCACTTTTTTACTGAACCATCTATTGAAATCGAGTCTCAACAGCAATCGAGCCAAATATTCTCCACTGGGTTGCGCACGAACTCTGTTCAATGTCTTTGTTAACCAGTTCATTACACTATCGAGTGTTTCACATAACGTGTTGAGCTCATCTTTCTCTGTTAAAAGTAAATTGTCAACTTCCCACATCGACGCTTGTAGGATAAAATCGTCGCACAACCGTAACAAAAGATTTATCAATTTATATACCTATAAGAAAAATACATGTAAATGTTAGCAAGATTTTTTTTTAAAGAATACATTGTATAATTTTCAATTTTATAAGCAATTCTAATAAAAATTTCTATTATTTTGATAAAACTTACAGGATTCTTTTTTCCTGTTCCACTGCCTAATAAAAAGGTTTGCGACATGACGTTAGCCAAGAATATAGAATGCGCTTTCTGTATGTCCTCGAAATTTCGTGTATTCTTCATACTTGTTTCCATTACGATATATTGGCTTTCCAAGACATCCACTTGCAAATAATACTGCAAGTTGTCAACAATGAAGATCAAGTTATTTCTCAACTGGATTACGCCAATGTCGCTGCAAGTAAAAACACTAATTTATTATAAAGAATAATTATGAAAAACAAAAAAAAACATTATTATAATTCTGAAATTTAAAAGAAACTTACACATTTTTATGATGCATACGTTCGCTCCACAGATTCCATAGATCTATCTGAGTCTTTTTAACTCTTAACAGAAAGCGAAACAAAGTGTTGTAATCGTTTAACGCAGCTGGACTAAACAATAGATGCAATGGCCAAACAACTTTATATTTCAATGTGATCATTCCCCATCCACGTTTCTCTAATAAAAGAAGGCATAAATTCAAATGTGTTAAATTGTGTCATTTTTAAATATCTCACAAATTAAATGTGACAATAAAACTGTAAATAAGTACCGTTAGGATCTTGTTTTTCATTATCAGAAAAATCAGTGGCGTCTGTATCGGTGTCCTTGTTTTCGGAAGGTGGCACAGGCACCGTGAAATTAAAGCTATCGATAGCGCTCTCATCGTTCAAATGCATCTTTCTCAACGCTACTTGAAACGCGAAATTAATATCCCTGGACGTGTGATTAGTGGGCGCTTTGTTCAGAATGTGTGCCACAAGCTTGATGAATTCTAAAAACAGGTCGCCACGTCCCATCAAAAAGAATTCTTTCACCAGTTTGAGTTGTTGCATTAGTTGCGCCTCTTCGACAGCAACGTGCCACAGAAGTTCAGTCACGCATTGTTTCAATTCGTTGATTGTGCGATCGAATTCGACGATGTTGAAAACGGACTTTGCCTGGAGATTCTGAAGTTTTCCGAAGTACTCGTATTCCTTGTCGCCCCATACGGAATTCTTTGTCTTGGCCATCATGCTGAAATCTACAAAATCAAATATTTATTTTCACAGAATTATACTCTTTAAAAAAATCAAAATTTATTTTTTTTTGCGAAATTACCTTTTTTCTGTCTAGGGTCATTTCCAAACATAATGACAGTTTGACCAATGGTCAGAATTTTATTTGCCAGCGATGGTTTGATATAAGATGGAAGCATGTCCACTTGAATTTTATAATCCCACATATCAATGCCAAATTTGTCACTGTCTGCTGATTCACGTGCATCAATGTCGTTCTTTCCATCTTCTTGTACCAATGTTTTCTCACAATCCGATGTTTTTTGTATGAAGAACTCTCTGTAAGCATCTTGTAAATGTCCATACAAGAGCCAGCTTGTTAGATGTTTGTAGAAAACAATGTTAACAGAGTGAGCCATCCTAAAAATGAATAAATGAAAAACAATGCTAATAATATTAAATTTTCTTATAAATTCCTTACAATTCCAGAGTGGACTTGATCTCTGGTATACCAGTATGCATACGTTGATGCAAACATTGCAATAATTTGCAACCATGGAGGTTCTGTGTATGAATCTGAAACAGAAGTTAATATTTAAACAAGCAAGCAAGCAAGTGTAAAATTTCTTTTTCTGAAAAATGTATAGTTACCTCACGAATGATAGAATGCAAAACAGAGAATAAACAAGTATATCTTTCAACACTGGAAAGAATTAACGACAGAGGAGTATGACTGTTGTTTAAGACTGTATTCTCCAATTCAATTATTTCTTCACGAAATGGTTCTAGTGCTTCATCCATTCCATCACACAGAGCACGTATGTACAGACCAGGGACTACAAATTCTACATAATACAAAATTATTGAAATTGAAAACAATTATAGAGTTTACATAAAATATTTCAATTTTTTCTGAATATTACTTAAACCTTTTGTATCCTCGCTGCGTACTGTTTGTATAAAATTCCTTATGACGTTACATTCCTTTACAATATTTAATATATCATTAAGTAGTGCTCGTTCACCAGGATGTAAATATTTATCAAGGTCTATAGACTAAAAGGAAAAATTGGTGAAAAATTAATTGCATATAAAGATAATAATTATTATTATCTTTTTTAATTATTAAAGATAATATTTATTATTATAATATATATGTGTGTATTTACATCTATTTCAATTATTTGGGATACACTGGTTGAGCATCCCCAAAGTGACAATAGGATCTCATGCAACATTTTACAAATCAAAAATACATGTAATATTGGATTCTTAAAGCTTGAATTTAATCGTTAACATCCATTCATTGACTCCAAGTAGAGAAATCACTTTTTCCATTTTTCAAAGGATAAACCGGTGACAACAATAAATCTTAACGCTATGGTGAAACATTTTATAAGTAATATTAATATTATATATTAATATTATATTAATATTTTGATATTTTTAATATTATTTTCAATATCAATGATTAATAAATCAATTCTTGCAATAAATTCACTATTGTTTCTATTATTTTGATATCTGCTGAAAATGAATTGTATTTTTAGGTTAAATTTAGGTTAGTTGTCGATATATCGAGAATCGATATATTGATATATCGCAATTTCGATTCATAATCAATTGTATATATCTTCAAGTAATTTCGTATTTTTCGCGAATGTATTATTTAAAAGTAAACTTTGCGCGCGAATGATCAGAATTTATCTTCTAAAGCGTTCGTCGTAACATAACCTCTGGTGCTAGTTATTATCCTATGTTTTTTATCACTGTTATTCACTAGTGTTTCTATAAATTCTGATAAAGGACGGAAAAATATATTTCACTTTGACAAAATTTCTATTTATTTTAAATAAGTTCAGATATTTTTCCAATGCCTTAATTACATATTTTTTAATGTTGCAGCATTCTATACGGTCGCTAGTATTTGCAAAATAGAAATTCGATGCGCGACGTCCTCCTCTATCCACCTTCGTCCAAGGATTGCAACAGAAAGAAATAGGACATAGCAGTGTTTAGGATCTGACAATAAAAATAACAAATTAAATTGGTATGTAAAATTAATGCTTTAGGTATTGTCAATAAACAGATATGGAGTTTCCTTGCAAGTGATAGAAAAAACTTGAAACTGTAAAATAAGTAAAAATAAGTATTTTATTGATGCATTTAGAGCAATCCTATATATTTTGATGAATTATGAAAATTACATGATAAAAATTTTATTGTAAATTGTTCGGTAAAATATTATTAAATACTTACATTGGTAAACATGTTAACATTTACATGAGACACTTTTAATGCTCTTATAGTCAATGGTTTCTGCATCATTGCCAAAATAATGTTCGCTCTCATGTGACGGTCGAGTTTAGAATCTGGCCAGTTGCTAAAATATATTCCTTCACGAAAATGTTCACTCTAAACATACGTACATATAATTATTAATTATGAATTATAATAATTATTTGTTTACAAAATGCGCTAAAACTCACTGCACTTGTGATGAGACTACCGTACCAAGCATATATAAACGTTTGCAGCAACTTTAATGCCATATAAGAGATAAATGAAAAGATTTGATTGATTGTCAAATCTGTAAACTGTTTATATGAATTTTTATTAAATTAACAAATTAACAAATTCATTTTTATAGCATTACATAAAAACTGATTACATAATAATTTATTAGATATATTTGTAAAATTTACTGCAAATGTATTATTTTTTATTAATAATAAGAATATAATGCAAAATTTTAATTCCAAATTTCCGAAAGTCTACAATTTTTAATTTAATATCTGTATTATTATAACATATTTTATATATTTCTTTATTATCTATTAATTTTTATTTAAAATGCGCAGATGATCTAATCGTTTCTACATACCGGGCTTACTTCGAAGATCAACGCGCACATAAGTATGGCGTTGGCGATGATCACCCGCAGAATTATCAATCCCCAAACATCCTCCAGCATACGTCCGCATCGTTCTATCCGGTGATGCGTCTCCACGCACGTTCCCAAAACTTTAGAGAACACCTCATTAGGTCGTGGATTTGCAAGTCTGATGGACATGGCTCGCAGTATCGCAGATATTTGAAACGCGTAGAAGCCGAAGAGGCTGTCGACGCTGCCAATGGTGAAAATCATCCACCAGCAAGTGAAATACTGATACAGGCATAGCAAATAGAAGACGGGACCACCATTAATCGGAGCGAGCCAAGGAAGTTTTACCGGTATCGGTAATTTGTATATCTTGGACTCGCTGTGCTGAACGATCTGGCGCACTATAAATATCATTGATGGACACACATAAAACAGGGTTGTCGATCCTAATATGAAGCATAGCAGATAAGACGGTCTGTCAAAAGCGTGCAAAGTGGCGAGCACGTTCTTATTTTCCCGATCGCTTGCCAGTTCTTGCTCGAAGAGATCATTTAGCGTCTCGTGAAGCTCTATCAGCTTTTTGCGTTTCACTAAGAAGCAAGCTGACTGGAAAAAAAGAATGGATGTATGAGTAAAAATTAAACAAAATTGCTGGTAATGCATTTAAGTAAAATATTAATTTCTTCGAACAATGAGATTAAAAAGTTTTATAATGATAAACCTCTTATTATAGTGATTTTCTTTGGAAATTTTTTCAAAATTCTCAAGTAAAGTTTCTATAATAAACTGATTTGTGAGCAGTTTTGCTAAAAAAAAAAAAAAATTGCAAAAATAAAGCGATTTAGCTTTTACAATTCTGTAAGATAGAATAAAACTTGTAGGTGGGGTTTTCTACACAGGTGTAGCACATTTTACGTGAAATACCATTAAGACGGGCGCGATGAAGCTACAGGTCAAGCCGAAGATTTTCGACAGAAGCACCAGATTATCAGTATGGTCCCGGCAGAAGTTTATCATGAAGATACACTGACCGAAGCACATGAAGATTACGATAAAGCTCATGATGTATGACCAGACTGCGGAACGTTTTCGATCATGCAAAACACCACCAAGGTAGAGCAGTTTGCGTATGCGACGAGTATACGCGCGGTAGCAAAGCAGCAAAACGTCGATTGTCGCTCGCTTTTGATGTGTTTGAGGGTTGTTTTCTAGAATAGCCATGGATAGATGGATGGAGAAATAACGAGGAGACTTTGCCGAGTGACGACAACATGTAATATCGCTTGGAAATTGCTGACAAAGTGGCGAGTGCAATGCGCTCCTCGTGGAAAGTTATGCTTGCATAATGACACAAACGAGGGGACAAACTGGAAGACACTTCTGTGTCTTCGGAAAACTCGTCATTTATTTACCAAATCAAATTATTTATTGCAGATACGACATAATCACATTATAAATTGATACTTTGAATTAAGAAGTATTAGGCCTGATCTACAATGTGCTTCTTGCGTATTGTTTCTTGCTCTCTGTCTTTCGTATTTTTGCTTTTTATGTGTCGCATGGAATCAAGAAACCTCGTGATTCACAATTCTCCTTTTTTAATTTCCGAAGAAAAATATGCCTTTAAAAATATGCCAAAGGCAAAAAGACAGAAAACAAAAACCAAAAGCATATTGTAGATCGGGCTTTAAGAATGAATTAGGCAACAAATCGAAGCAATCTTTTTTGCAAAGTATCTTCTCTACTATCCTTCATTATACGCAAGTTCCAGTGTATAAAAAATTCAGGGAACATGATCAGAACAGACGATTTAGTATACTTAAGCATAAATCGATATAAGTAACCCTTCCATGCTGATTACTGCTACGGAAACATGGTTACGATGGTTGCATGGAAAAACAGTGAGAAAGAATTGGAAGCAGATTTCTCTGTAACTGAAAAACAGAAATTAATAGATATACTTAATATATATATATATATGTTTTATAAATAAAATTTTTAATTAAAATTTGTCTATAAAATTCTGTATATAACATTTTACATAATCTTATAGTTTTATCTAAAAAATAATCTATAATTAAATAAATCGCAAATCTCTTATTACAAAAATGTATTTTTTGTTACATCATTAATGAACATTAGATATTTTGATAATAATATTTCAATATAATATTTTGTTTAAATTTTATAAATCGAATTTGCAGCGATACTCGACTGAAGTTCGAGTCAGCCAATCAAACATCGAGATGTCGAGATCCATTTTTCTCTTCCAAAATTACAGCTCTCTCCAGTGTCTCAATGCAACTAGCTATAACGCTATTCCAGAAGAATTGAGTTCGAGGGCAGTGTTTTCACCGTCGCGTGAGAAAATTTTGAAGCAGTCAAAGAATCTTTTGTGTATGAAATTTTGAAGGCGATGTTCGAGTGATGAAAAATGGAGCTGCGTGATTCATTTGCGATTCCCTGTGTCAAGTGCTTCGCGTGAAATTACGAACATAACCTCCATAACCTCCAGTTACATTTTGCTTACGAGCAAAATCGTAATAATTTGCATTCAGAATGGCAGTCGGCTCGACGAAAGTCGTCCAGGTGACGAACATCGCGCCTCAGGCAACTAAAGATCAGATGCAAACGCTTTTTGGGTACCTGGGGAAAATAGAAGACATCAGATTGTATCCGACGATCCGAGATGTTGCCGTGCCGGTGCAGTCGCGTATATGTTACATTAAATTCCATGATCAAGGTTGCGTGTCAGTGGCACAGCATATGACCAACACCGTCTTCATTGACCGTGCATTAATAGTCATTCCCTACCAGAATGGAGACATTCCAGATGAGCAACGTGCTCTGGAACTTACTAACAATGGCACGGTCGTACCAGGTAAGAATAGAATCTGTAAATCACATAGCTTAGCAGTATTTGATATTTGTTACAACTTAAAAATTGTTATGAAAAATCTTTTCTTTCACATTCAGCATAAATTTAATCTGGAAACTCTCTTTCAGGTCTCTATCCATCTGAACCTAAGTTACCACCAAATGTGGTAAACGCCATCGAAGGTATTCCACCAAATCATGTAATCACAACAATGGATCCTAAGTTGGAAGCAAATGGTCTGCCGCCTTATCCTCATTTGCCAGGCCATCTAGACAGCAGACGTATCGAGGAAATTCGACGGACACTTGTGGTGGCAAATCTGGACACATCGGTGAGCCCTGAGCAGCTGTTGGATTTTTTCAGCAACAACAATGTAGAGATCAAGTACCTGCGTATCTGCAGCAGGGATTCGGATACCGATCATTATGCACTGGTAGAGTTGTCGGAACAAGGCGTAGTGGTTGCAGCTTTATCGCTGAATGGCAAGCAACTGGCGGAACGTTCGATCAAGATCTATCATTCGACACAGGCAATTGCCAAACCAGAAGCGAAGAGTAACGAGGCTGCGCAGAAGGAGATTGAAGAAGCAATGTCGCGAGTAAAAGAAGCGCATAATCTCATTTCCGCAGCGATTGATCCAATGATTGGCATGCTATCTAAGGATAAACGCAGCAGAAGTGGGTCGCGTAGCCGGAAATCACGTTCACGCAGTCGCGGTCGTAGCCGTCGATCAAGATCACGTAAACGTTCGCGTTCGCGACATCGGCGATCTCGCTCCCGTCATCGGCGTCGGTCACGTTCGCGCTCCAAACGCTCCCGATCGAAAGATCGTCGACGAAACTCACCATCGCGACGACGCAGTGGTTCACGCAGCCGCCATCGTTCACGCAGCAGATCAAGACGATCGAGGTACGATTAAATTATTATTTTTGCCGTCTCTTGCAATTCTATAAATATATATAAGACACCTAGACAAATCATAGAACAAATAGTAATTATATAAAAAATTATAAAAAGTAGCAAAAAGTAGCAAAATAATAATTTTATACATACTATATACAAAAAAAGTCATATAAAAATAGTACATATTTTAGATATGGCAAATTATATATATATATAAATAGTATTTGCCTAAAAATAATCCTTATATATATGTAGACATGAGGTATATATATGATTTTGTATGTATATTGTAAGTTTTGTTTGATACATTTGAAGTTAATTATAATAATTTTATGTACGTGAAAGTGGATATGGATTAGTCTAGGTAAATGTATGATAAAACGAGAACAGAATAATTTCCCGTTATTTTTGTAACAAAAAGATACTAACTGATTATCTTATTAAAGATCGCGTCGATCGCCCTCCAGATCGAAAGAGCGCAAGAAGAGATCGCCGCGGCGTCGCAGCCGTTCGCGTTCTCGCAGCAAGCGTTCGAAATCCAGATCCAGACGTTCGCGCTCCAAATCCAAATCCAGATCGTCCAAATCCAAATATTCGGAGAAGTCCAAAGACAAGGATCGGGAGAGACGCAGCAAAGATAAATCTGACAACGGCAAGAGGAGTGACAGCGACCGGGAGAGACCTGAAAAAGAGAGCAGAAGCGAGAAGAAGTCCAACAAAGAGAAACGATCTAGCGACAAATCGGAGTCCAAATCAGAAGATAAGAGCAGATCCACGGAGAATAACGACAAAGAGAAGACCACGGAATCGGAAAACTAAACGGAGTCTCGTTCACTGCCGATACATTTTGCTCGGAATCAAAGAGGTAGATGAAACTCCATCCACAACTGATGCGATCCCGTTCGCAGACGATTATTTCGTTAATTTCGAGAAGCCACCTTTTGTCGTCGCTATGTATTGATACAGTAATAGAAATATATGAATACACGATATTTACGTCGAGCTTCTTTCAGGATAAAGATACATTTGCGCTGATAGTCGGAAGTTGTAGGCTGTCTATTGATGCCTCAGTATGAACTTTCATCCTCATTTTCCTCGGAATAGGTGGTGGAACAGACGATGGAATAGGTTGGACCTTTTTCTCTTTCTCTCTCTCGCCCTCTTCCTTTTCATCTCCGCCACGCATTTCTGTTTTATGCACGTTTTGGGATGTTCTGAAAGAAACAGACAATCAGTGTGCTATGATTGACAGTTCGATGGTGACGTTGTACAGTCTTGATCAAATGAGAAAGCTTTTAATTAGTAGGCATGCAAACCACAATCAGCATTTGCGAAGTAAAAATGATGAGCAACGTTTATACTTTAGAAATTAAGTTTCATTGATTATATAATCAGTTGTGTGTGAAAATTTATTACTGTTTTGTACAACATATTTCAATTTGTGAATACTGATTAGTACAATATGATTAAATAATTAACTATTTAACATATCATAATATAGGAGACATGTTTCGTACTTTTTTTTTTATAATTGCATGAGAATAAAAATAATAAAAAATGTATTGCATAAGAATAAAAATAATAAAAATTAAAAAATCGAATAACTGAAAAAAGATAATTTTCCTTAAAAAATATAATTTACGATTATGTCGCATATGTCTTGAAAAATAGGCGGGCATACCTTGCTACGTGCTGGTTTTCGTAAATAACAACGTCTTCGTAGATTTCCTTCATGGGAACTGGCGTGCGAAAGAGCGACTTTTGCGCGTTTTTTATGGTTGATCGCCTTTTCAGTACCATCTGTAATTGTTTTTTTTTTTTTATTAATTTTGTTAAAGAAACTCCTTAAATTTGAAAACATTCTGTTCAACATTGTCCTCACCATCCCTGCGTTTTTGCTTTGTGAATAATTTGAGGTCAAAGCCATTTCCATCGAGTTGTCCACTTTTTTATGCAGTATGTTGTCCACTTGGGAACTTCCTATCGATTAAAACAAATATTGTTTACGATTTTCTACGGGATGCCCTAAAAGAGAAGCTCCTCTAGGATATTCTATAGAACTTATTTATTTATTAAGTTATAATATTAATGTGCATTACGACTTACGCATTACGAATTCATCGTACTGGCCGAGAGGATCTATTTCCAAAATCATAGATAATGTATTAGGATACCGTAAGTCCATAAATATCATTATAAATGCCAAAAGAATGCAAAATAAACCTGAAAAGAAACACATAAAAGTTGATACAAAAGCTTCACGTATCATGGAATAAAACAAATGTTATTAATGTAGAAACTATTGTGCCAACTCGGTCAGTTTTGCCAAAAAAAAGTAAATAAATAGCAGCAATTTTAGCACTGTTAACATTAAGAATATTCTAGTTATATAAACAATTTAAGGGTTTCAGAAGAGAGAACAAATAAAAAAATTCTAAAATTCAGAGGCTAAGAAAATTTGAGAATGTGAATTATAAGGATGCAGGAGTTGAAAAATTAATGCTAAAAAATGCGTGCGAGTTCAAGGTTTGCAAAAAGATGCCAGATGAGAATTCCGTCAATTTAAATAACAACTAATCACCACATGTAAAAGTCATCCAGAAGTGAATGCCTAGTGTCATCTTAATAGTGCCATCCTCGAAGGGAATCACAAGTGGACTTGGATTGTGTACGAAATACCATACGAAGCAAGTTAAGCATTGCAAGCCGCCTATTGTGCCGGTTAAATAAGCGACGTAGCGACTCACAGACTGCAGGAATATGTTAGCTAGTATCCAGCAGGCAAAGGCGGTCCTGTAAGTCATAAACACTTTTTGTAATAAAAATCAGTATATTTTAACTTGCAGATTCAATATTATAATATCAGTTGAAGATTCTTGATCTTCCGCATAAAATCCGCTCGTTTTGTCACCACAATATACTGCATCTATTTTTCGTACGCGAGAACGGCACTCTTTAATTTTATTTTCCATATTTGTATATTATAAAATAATTATGTAATCAATTTAAGGATTTCAGGAAAGGTGGGGAAAACTAAAAATTCTAAACTGTTAGAATTAAAACTCTAATTCGTCTTCTATACTGACCACAATAAGATGTGACAATACCATCCGGCAGTTCGATAAAATCGCCCGAACCGAATCCCCTCGCCATCGATGACGAAGTATTCGGCGATCCATAAAATGGGGATCGGCAGGCCCTTCTGTTGGCCTTCGCGGAAGGTCCTCTGTAGCAATCCGGCTGTAAAAATTCCAATCGCTTAGACTCTAATAAGGTAAATTGTCAATTTTATAGCAATATGTTACCGTAGGGTCCGAAACCAATTATGCCTTGGTCCCACGTCCAAGGAAATCTCTCGTTGTAATCAATCGTTTCCTTTGCAAGCAGCGTGCCCTCCTCTGGTTTAGCTAAACATATTTTTCAGTTAGATTAATCATGAATTTTATTCAAGAACTTCTTTCTACAGAATCACTTGGAATTATGTGTACTTGGACAAATGCTTATCGATATTTGCATTCACCATCAAATTCCTGAAGAATGCATCTTTATTTTCAATTTATTCTAAATATTACCTTCCAGTGTGATGTTCACCGACCTCAATCCTATCTTGACTTCCATTTGGGCGTCGATTTCCTGGCCCACACCAGCTCGATATGGCGTCTTACTCCTCGTGCTGCCGTATTCCCATTCCTGTCCGAAATTCTCTACTGCAAAGTTAGATGAATGCTAGATAAATTCTACGTATCATATAGAATAAATACAAAAAAATTTAAGATACTCACTTAATAACAAGCATCCAATTAGAAGGCTAAAGGTGACTTTTATAGTTACATAGATAGTCTGCGCGATAATAAAAATAATTTTTATTAGCATAAGATTTATCTTAGATTCAGATTAAAGTAAAAATTTGAGGATTTAAAGTATGCATAAGCTTATGACATTATAATTTCATCAGCATCAGCTTAAGGCTGCGAAGCTGTAATTGTGTGTATATAAAGATTATTTAAGTTTAATAAAAAGTTTTTAAATAAATTATTCTCATTATTTTAGAAACGATATAAAAGCGAGAAAGATATGCATTTCTAAAACTGGAGTTTTTTACAACACTCCGTTGTGCCCACCTGCTTCTTCCGGTAACTCGGTATGATACTCATATAGGCGATCCAGATGATGAAGAAGACCGCGACTAGTATAGTCTCAGTTACATCTATTATCACCGGAGTATGATGAGCCGAAAATCGCGAGAGAAGGCCTCTCGATCGTTCAAAGAAACTCATTTTTTTCACTACGTGAATAATCCACTGTTGTTTTCAATTAAAGAACAAACGACGATGAAGGATCGTTTGATATTTGTTAATCTACTAGCTAGTATTCACACTCTACGAGGAATCCGCCAACATTGCGGTTGCATTTGAAACGGCTTCCGTTTATTCTTGAAGCTGGATGATTGAAACCTCAAGTTGTCTTATCATGAAACTTCCGCAAAGTTGTAGATTAATATTCTATAGAGCTACATCAACGTATAGTCATATCAAACATGTTGCACATATTTTTTTTATCAACAAGGCGCTGAAACGCTTTGAAATTGATATTGGTATTGAATCGAGGAAATGAAATGCTTTTCTGTATGTGTATACGAGTCTTTATTTTATTCGTTAACGGATTATATCGCGCTTCTATTAAGCTGCCTGCCAAAATAAATTGCAAATGTTAACGTCGGTAATAGCGCACTTTTTGTTTTGAGCGACGTCGAGAGCGCGATGGCATTAATATTCACAATATATATCGGCAATACGTCTCGTGTATTTTCGCACTGTATGTATATATATAGAATGTATCGTATATGTATACAGGAATGTGTAACGGGGAAGATTTAAATATACTGTATACGATATATCACACGCTACATCACACGCGTACACACGTCACGCACACGCACACGCAGATTTTCTCCTCTCTCTCCACTCATATATATGTGTGTGTGTGTGTGTACAAAACGTACATACACACATATACACAAATGAAAGTAACACAACCCCGTTCGGTGATAAGTACAAGTGAAACGTGATGGTATAAAAATTGAATGCGCGC